GGGGGGCAGCATCTGTGTGCCCCTTTATTAAAGGGGTACCCTGATGTGAATAAGCACTACCACAACCAACGCCTCAGGGCTTGTGGGGAAGAGGCCAATGTCCCCATCTGCACAGGGGTGACCCTGGAAAAGCACCCTCCCAGTGCCGAGGGCATGTGGCCTGGTATGGTGGGGGTGCTCGGTCCCCCCCCCCCTTTCTACCCTACCATGCCTGTGCTTGGATCACGGGTCTGGTTAGAAATTGTAGGGGTTCCTCCTTAAAATTCCTACCAGACCTTAAGGGCTTTGAGGGGAAACCCTGCATGCTTTTTTTTTATGGGGTCCCTTCTAAATCTCCTACCAGACCCGAAGGGAACCTGATGTACTAGGAGATGAAGAAGCAGAGGGTTAGCTCAAATTCTTTAGCAGGTTAGAAAGCATCAGCTGCTGAAGTGAGGGAGTTTACAAGCAAGGGGAAATTGATCAAAACTAGAGTAGAAAAAATCTGGAGCAGATTTGCACTGCAACCAATCAGCTTCTCTGTCTCATTTTCAAATCTTACCTGAGCAAACTGAAGATAGATGTTGATTGGTTGTCATGGGCAACTGCTCCAGATTCTGTTTGCTCAAGTTTTGATAAATTCCCCCCTGTGACTATAAAGGTAAAAGGATACAGGTGCTACAAGTCCAATGAGAGTGAAAGTCAGAGCTGCCTACCTCAGCACACTGTAAATTATCCAGTGCCTTAGCTTACCTTACCTGCTTATGTCTACTGCACCGATCCCAACTACAGCCTCCACAAAGTTTCTATATTAATACAACCACACCCTGGTGGTTAGCACCAGCTCGGTTTTAGGGATGCCCCCTGTCCTTCTCAGCCAGAAGCTGAGCACTGCATTGTCGAACCACATAAACTTTAGTAATGGGTTTTCAAAGGCGGCAGCAGCAGCAGGAATTGGGTTTGTGGACAGGGGCAGAGAAGCTAAGTAAAAGCACTAGCGCGTGTCTGGGTTATTTTAAAATACCACATTTATGCCACATGCATGATTTTTTGTAATAACTTCAGTTCTTACTTTATTTTATTCTACTTCCATGAATAATGAAAACTATACTTTTATTACTATTAAGTTGGTATACATCAATATTTAAATGATTGTGGTTTGCTGTAAAATACATTTCCATGAAAAAATTACTCTTCCTGAAACATCTAATTTCTAAAGTCTTGACTTTAAGCAACACTGTAAGACTTTATGTGCAGCTCAGGTAAATCCCAAGATTCCTGCTTGCCATTTCTAAATGTGAAATGAAAATGAAGCAAAGTATATTTGGATACAAATATAATAAGTTTAATTAAAGTGTGCTCTTGCCCCCAAATCAATTTAATGGTTCATTTAAACATACTATTATTTCGAAACAGCTGCAGGTTTTGCCATTTCCCAAAATTCCATGCTGTCTAAAAAAAATTAAATTTAAATGGAAATTATTTATGAAGTGCTGTGATGGGGAATCTGAGCTAAGCTCAGAAGGTTTGCTGTGGACATCTAAAACAATTAATAAAACATTGTATTACAAGAGCAGTATTATCCAGTGAAATACTTAAATTAAGAGAAGATATAACACCTTTAGTAAAATGTGCATTTAATATCATTTCAGGATAATTACATCCCCTGTAACTATCATTTAAATATTGTATCTATTTTATAATTCCTTATTTTATGGATTTTAAGATTATAGTTTATTGCATTATTTAACAAAAAAAGGAAAGCTTTGGAAGATTTAGACTTATGAAATCTTATCTTTTGTACAGTGTTGGACAAGTCCATTATGCAATATGAATTCACAGTAGGTATTGCATAGCTGCTTTTTTGCCTAGACGCCTAGACCTACTTTTTAATCAATTACCCACTTGCTGTATGGCAGCAAGACATCCATATGATATGTCCATCAAGACATATCATAAGTGCTAGCTATCCTCTGGCCCTCAGGAGATACTATCATGCTTCTCATGATAGGAACCAGTAAGGATAGAACAACAGACAGTGTCTAGGCACTGCCATTTTGTGCAGAGGGCTCTGCTGGTATATTTTGTACTGCTTGTTTAGTCACATTGAACTGGGCTAATTATTCTCTGTTAGACATCCAAGATTAACATATACGGGTAGGTCTACTTTAAAGCTATATAATAACAGACTGATAACTTTTGCTGACATTTAGGTGCAAAAATAGTTTCCCAGCCATTTATGTCTAAGGCAGTTGGGGTATTTTACAGTAAATTACAACAGCTAAACAGAATCAGCCCCATGCATGAAATTGCTTCATTTTCTCAGGCAGTCTTTAACTACTCCAGAGTGCTTCTGATATCTCAAAAATATAGATGGCGGCACAAGCAGTGAATCATAGACATGTGCGCCGGCAAAAAAAAAAATTGTTTTGTTTTCATTTGGATTTTTCATTATTTTGTTTTCGGGATTTGGGTCCGAAAATCAATTTGTTTCCGGATTCCGATGAATTGCGTAGTATGTATGAATTTTCGTTATGAACGGATTTGACAAAAGGGAAAAAAAGTCTGCAGAAGAAAAAAAAAAGGTGTGAGGCTCCCCCCCCAATTATTACCAAACCCTTCAGGTCTGGTAGGAATGTTAGTAGGGACCTCTCAAGTTAAAAAGAAAGTGCAGGGGGTTCCCCCAAAAGTTATACAAGGCCCTTTAGGTCTGGTAGGAATTTTAAGGGGGAACCCCACCCCCACAAAATTGAGGGGGGAGGGGAAATGTGGGGTCCCCCTAAAATTCCTACCAGACCCTTGATCCGAGCACAGGCCTGGCAGGGCAGGAAAGGGGGGGGCAATTAAACGCCTCCCCCTTCCACCATACTAGGCCACATACCCTCGGCATTGGGAGGGTGTGTCCATACCAATGGAGACAAGGGTCTCTTCCCCACAACCCTAATGCAGTCCGTGTACTCATCGTGCTCAGAGCTGCTGCTCCAAAAATGGAAGGTGGGTGCAGCAGGTGTCAGCGGGTGGCTTCCGACAAAATATAAGTAAAGGATGGACACCGGCACTCCAAAGCAAGTTCAGTACGTGTTTATTAACCTACTAGTTGCAAGTAGAACACTCTTAACGTTTAGAGTGTTCTACTTGCAACTAGTAGGTTAATAAACACGTACTGAACTTGCTTTGGAGTGTCGGTGTCCATCCTTCACTTATATTCCCCCCAACCCTGACACGGTGCTTGTGGGGGGTCTGCGGGCAGGGGGGCGTATTTGCATTTGGGTACCCCTTTAACTAAAGAGGTACCCAGATGCTACCCTACAGCCACTATTATGACAGATCTGTTAGAAAGCAATTATCAAATACACCTATTTATACCTGGCATATCCAGTGAGTTTAGTTTTCAATAAAAAGTTGAAGGGCATTATTCAATAATGTGTGTTTTACATTCTAAGTCCCGGCCTTATTCTGCATTGATTGCATAGATTCAATAATATTGCTTATAGCACTGTATGAAACACCTGCTGATGTGAATAGTAACAGTATAGCTAGAGACATTAATCATAATCCTTAATAATTAGTATGATATGGATCAATGGAAAGATAATTAATTTGACTATAATAACATTTGACCCTAATGTTTGCACACACAGCTTCCCTGCTATTATAATTTATATAAAAATAAGCTTACCTTTCTTTCGGCTAAATGCACGATTCATTTTGGTTATTGGAAAAAGTCAGTCTGCGAGTCTTCTTTCTAAAATTCAATTACAATAATATATTAGGACAGTAAATGTGAACATCCAACAGATACAGGAAGTTAACCGAAATCTTCCCTGTAGGACACAGCAAAAAAGAGTAGCACAGCGGAACAGCAAAAAAATAAATAGAAAATAACATGATAGAGGTTTTAATCATTCCCTACTCTAACCAAAACAAAAATGTTTTGCCACACAAACTTTAACAAATACTGTATTGTCATAATCAATATTATATTATTATACACATCCATTAGTGCAGTACAAAATAGGTAAAGAAGCAAAGGTGCATTATATAGATAATATGCTTCCTTCAGACACTTTGCCTGACTAAGGGGCCCTGCGAGACCCCAAAAGGTTGCAATTATATGTCATGCTAAAGGTATACCAATAAAAAGGATATTCTGAATCAGAATGGTGTGCGGACAACATATCCTCTAACCTGTATACTGTGGCGCCATCCAACAGCTGTACCAGCACCCGTTGAATTCTAGGGTACATCAGTATAGTGTGTGAAGGAGACATCACTAAGATATAGATAATACAAATACATCAAACAATTCCACTGACAAATACATCTGCATAGCAGAATATATACAGCAATGCCGACCTATAGAAAGAAAGACCCGCCTGTACAAGCCTAAAATCTAGAGGCTTAAAGTGTATTTCCACAGTGAAATTTAAAAACAAAAATTATGTTTTTGCGTATATATTATAAGCATAATATATTTGTTATACTGTATTTATCCATTCACACTGCATACTTAAATATAAGTTTTCAAAAAAATATTTCTTCTCTTTATAGACATTTAAACACATAGTGGTCTATTCACAAAGCTGCCGAAGGATCCAGCCGTAGCTTCGGCTGATCCTTCGGCTAGCTTCGGTTACGGGAGACCTTCAGTTCAGTAGAACCGAAGGGCTGCTGCACAGGCTATTCACTATAGCCTGTACAGCTCCCGAACTTGGCCGAGCCGAAGGCATATGCTTCAGCTCGACTGAGCTGAGGCGAAAGCCGAAGTAGGCCGAGGCGAAAGCCTGCTGCTGGCAGCTGGGCGGAGCCAGCCGTCATCTCACAGATGGCTCCGGCCACTTGCAATAAAAGATCAGCATCCCCTGGTTACCAGGTAACCTGGGGACGCTGATCTGTCATTACAATGAGAACTCAGCGCAGCCGGCAATGATATCAAGACCGGCCCCGCTGGGCTCTCATGACAGTTCAGCATCCCTAGTAACCAGGGAACACTGAAGTTACCTAGCAACCAGGGAACGCTGGACTGTCATTACAATGAGAGCTCAGCAGAGCCGGCGGTGATATCACCGCCGGCTCTGCAGAGCTCTCATTGTAATGACCGCAGGCCCTGGCCAATAGGACTTTTTTTTTCAGTTTTTCTATTCTGCTCGGTACCACGGAGGTACCGAGCAGAATAACCGAGCCGAATGCCGCTCGACAGCATTCGGCTATTCACTCACTGCTGTTCGGCATCTATAAGAATAGGCCGAATAGCAGCGAGTAGCCTGCCGGAGGTTCGGCTCAGCCGATCCAGATGTTGCATCGGCTGAGTCGAACTCCTTCTGCACTTCGGGTCGACCGAACATGCCGAGCAAGTTCGGTCGACCCGAATACAGCCGAAGCAAGCCGATGTACGGCTGAAATCAGCTGTACGAGCTGAAGTGAATAGCCGAACAGCGTTCACTTCAGGTCGGTTATTCACGAGGCTCCCTTCGGCAGCTTTGTGAATAACCCTCATAGAAAGCAAGTGTGCTCCACTTCCTAATCCTTTTGCAGCTTGGAGAATGCTGGTGCAACAGTGGGATTCCTATTAATCCATAGAATCAATGGCAGAATAAATCCACACATGGACAAAAAAACTACTGAAAGGATCTTCAGCGGAGTGCCCGCTTTTTCTAGCTTGGATCTTACTAGATATTTCTTTGGAGGAGGCTTTTGATAAGACTGCAAGATATTCTGAACAATCTGAAGAAAAAAGTGGAGCGGTAGACAGTGTTTCCTCTCATTAACATGCAATTCATCGCACAGCGCACAAGCTTTGAGATCTTTCACCCTTTGTTAGGACAAACAGTGTTCAAATCTAGTTTACAACTGATAATGAGATCTGCCAGCGCAGCACATTCCCGGGTTTAAAGCACAACTCCAAGAATTTAAAAAAATTACCCTAGCAGTGCATTTTATTTGAGCCCCTTGTTTTGGTCTAGTGGCTCAAATAAAATAAAAAATATTTACCTAAACCTTGATCCTGCCTGCCCCCCTGCTAGACCGGTCCATGCAGCCTCTTCTCCCTCGGGACCTGTTGGTCTAAACCCCAGCCCATTCACCTGCATTAGATCTGCGGGCACCGAGGGACATTCCACAGCTGGAATGAAGGAGTAGAGGGTTGAGCGCAGGACTGAGGATCAGGTGCGTATATCTTCTAAATGTCAATCCCCTAGTGGGGGTAGGGTGACTGCAAAGGTTACATTTTAAAATAACTGGAGTTCCTCTTTAATCATGGTAAACATTAACTCCACAGCACCCTCCCTTAATACTACATAGCAGGAAAAAACTTGCTTTTTGGAGTTTTCAGAAAAGAGTGAGTAAAAATGTAAACTTCATTTATTTTTAATGCTTTTAAGTTCTGCTATGTGAATGAGAACATGTAACATATATAAAGTAGGTGTTATCCCAATTTAGCTGCAAAAGTCTAAGTACACTCTACTAGACAGAAAGACATATGAAATGAATAAGCTACATGCAATAGGTATGACAGTGAGTGCCTTGAGAGAACAGACCTACAGTGCATAGTGCTGGATCAATGACTAAGGAAAATATCTCAAATTACTTTATTTGCTTGTATTTTAAGGATGGGCTTATAGGGTTAAGGAGTGCTAAACAGCATTAAAAAAAGAAATTCCAAGCTAGGGAGAGGCATGTGAGAAATCCTGCAGGCGAACATGTAAAGGCGGCAGAGAAGGAGAAAAGGTCAGGTGAAGACCTTGGGGTAGTATCTGGAAACTAGGAAGAAATTGTATAGAGGCGGCAGGTTGGAGAAAGCTTCATAGTATTCATTAGCAGCCAGTAGAGGTACTGACAGAGGAGTAGCACTTGAGAGCGTGGATTGAGGCAGAATGTAATGTAATATATAATTATATATGTAATATATAATTTATTCATTATGTGAAACTTTCAGTATCAGAGGCATTTGGTCTTTAAAATAAAAAGTGTACACATAAAAAAGTACAAGATTGACACGACAGGCAGCAGAAATGATACATTATAATTCATACCCATCATGTGATAATGATATGCCCCTGGATATGCCTATTTATTTGCATATTTTATTGGTTTTCTTATAGTACAAGTACCCTCATAGCAGTATTTAGCTTTAATACTATCTTAGGACCAAATGACTTTTGCTGCCTTTTCATGCAGGCTTTACAATGACCTATAATCATGTCACTATGATTGCCATTAGAATTAAAAATGATGAACTGGAGGACACAGCATGCCAAATGCTTTATGTCCAAAAATGTCATTGAGCCCAGGAGTGTATCTGTCATGATCAAGCATAGGGATAGCTAATCTTTATACAGACTTGTAATTGCTCTTTGGTTCCCTGCAACCCCTTTCTAGCTCTGATGCTGGATTTTTCAGTGCCCAGGGATGACTAAGTAACAAGTTAGAGCAGGTATGGAGGGACTTTATTCTGCTGCCATGCAGATCTGCAGCAACCAAAGTCTTAAAGGAGAACTATGGGGTTAAGGCTTTTCCCCATAGTTCTCCTTAGGGTAACGGGAGGACACAAACTAGCGTCCTCCCATCACCCTAGGCTCAGTATACCGCGAGCTGTAGCATCCTGACAATTATCTCTGGATCCGCCCAGCTGCGTGAGTGACAGCTGGAGGTACAAATACACGGTACAAATTCGCACATCAGGTGCTGCTGTCGGCACCCTTCCAACCGGCATCCCTCGATCAAGATGAGGAGCGGGTTGGAAAATGTTTGGCCAAACTGTGCTTGCATCTAATAGGATGCAAGCTTCATTCAGGTATTCTGACAGCGGCCGCTGTCAGAATACAACAGCAACAGTGGGAGATTCCTTGATCAATGCTCATAAGTGTTCATATTGGAATCTGTTATATTTTATTTGTTCAGCCCGCAGGTTGAATGAAGAAAATATATGTGTTTATACCCGATTATGCTGAGATAATTGCTATTACGGTGATCTGTTTTTAAATGGGAATCAGCAATGCCTTCCATCAAGATAGCTGTTGATGCCCAAATCAAATCCCAGTAACATCAGAAAGATGTCACTTAGAGTCTCCATGTACCAGTAATGCTCCCTCACTGGTATTTCAGTATGCTACAGTAGGTTCAAAGGCACAAGAGCTAAATGATTCAGCTTCTAGACTAGGCGATAGACACCAGTGTCATTTATAGCCAACAGCTCTGCCAGTATCTGAAGGTATCTGCTGCTTTAAGACTGATTTATGCTGCTTTAAGACTGCATAGGTGGGGTGTGTTTGAAGTGGTTAAATCGTAATCTGCTTATATGTTGCGTTCCCTGGTTGCAGCAGATAATACTTTGTGTGGGAGGACAGAGGATGTTTTAAATAGCTTCCTAGAAACATCCCAACACCCTGCCTCAGTACTCCTCCCAAGAGCTCTTAACCCTGATGCAAGCAGTGGGCTGGTTCTTCTCAGGAGCTATGCAGATATCAAATTGCCTTGATGGAAGGGACAGTCAGGCTGGTTTATAAAGTGTTAAATGATGCTGGATATCCCTCAACCATAAAATGTGGTGGGCTCTATCCTGTAGCACGGATGCCCACAGAATGCAGGAAAATCAGACTAAAGCTGCCATTACACCTTTCGAATATCGTCCGATTTTCGTATGCGATCAGGTTTTTTCGTCCGATATTCGTAAGGATAATGGGCAGCGTACAACCGCAAATACTGTACAATCCTTCGACTTTTGACTAACCAGCCG